CTCTCTGTCTTTGGCATCTGGCATGCTGCCCTAACCAGTGTCAGCAGAGAAACTGAAAAAATTAAGCCAAAGCTGTATTTGTATATCAGGACAATATTGGACCAGAAGGTACCTGTGAAAGCCTTAGTATTGGTTCAGTTATAACACGGTTCAGTTATGACACGGATTCCAAATGGCACCGTTTGGTTATCTGATCTCTTCTGTAAGTCTTTCATGGTCTAATTTAGTCCTGGTGAGAATGCAGCTAAAGAGTCTGGTACTACAAATAATAATGTTTTCTAATCTTCTGTAAATGTTTTATGGTATGATGATAACACCATAAAGAGAGCCTGGATGTTTGCTTGCTGACACTGGGTATGTTATACTACCAGGGCATTCACAGAGACAGGAGTCCAGTACCTGTTAAATACACTGCATTATGGCACTGGGTTCTTTTCTATCTCAGGGCAGTCACAGAGAGAGTCGTGCCTTGGTTTATATACTGCATCATGGCATTGGTAACATTCTTGGGGCGTGGAGAGAACAGCTGTTATATAACCTGCATCAGGGTCATCTACTGCCTTGTGAACAGTATGAGGGGGACTGCATTGTGCTCTGTTACTGTTGAGGGATGTTGGGGGGGGGTGAGATTTGCATGCTTTTTTACATGAATCAAGAAAGGAAATCTGAGTTTCTTACCTGAGTGGATTTTTTGTCCTCATTACTGGCCGATAAGAATAGAAAGTATGAAAGTTTTGGCTCTCCAGTTTAGAGCCCTGGATTGGCTCCTGTTGTTTTCTCCTATTCCCAACCAGTCAGAGCTAGGTTTTATCTGTCAAGGAGAATATCTTATTTTGTGTGAATATGTTAGTTTAGAAAGTTCATAGATTTTATGGTAAGTCAAAAATGGGAAAGTCTTTTTGGACAACAGGGGGGAAGAGAGGAGGGGCAGATCTAGAGATATTTTCTAACAGTCTTCCAAATTATCTTTGTTGATCCATCCTCCATTTTCAACTGTCTTCCAACAGAAAAATTAGATGTCTGTCAATGTAAATTTGAACATTTCTGACGATCTTTTTAAAGACCCAGAAGACAGCTTCTGTCCACCCCTGGAGGGGATCTTATTCATGTGACCACCTCACAACCCAAGCTATCAACTAAAACCAAACTTAGTTCAGCTGTTATCATAAGATTAAGAATGAGAAGAGTTTTAAATGCTTTACTGGGCTTTGAAGCATGTCAAGTGTATACCAGTTAATGTACTGAGAGCTGTTGTTTGTATTATCATAGCATGACACCAGGATACCCAGAGACAGGTAGTAATGATATGTGTGGAGAGATACTGGTAGCAAGTGGTGTGTGTATATAGAGAGATGGGGAGAGGGAGGCATAGTTAACATGGAGAAAATGGTAGGACAAGTGTGTGTGTGTGCGTGCGCGCGTTTGTGTCTGTGTGTGTAAGAGAGAGAGAGATTTATCAAGTTTGATGTTTTTTCTCCCAAAGAAGCAGGGCTCTCTCCTGTCAGAAAAAGAAAGTTATTCAATTTATAATGATGTCAGTGTTTACAAAATGTTTTGAAATCACCACTTTGGCTTCCAATGATTATACATATCTTGTTATAAAAATGAAGCTGGCATCTTGCCCAGTGTTGACCCACCAAGATCAGCATGATGTTGAGTAACTTTCCACCAGTCCTATGTTAGACAGGCTTGCTGTCCTATGTTAGACAGGCTTGCTGTTGGTTTGGGGTGTGTGCTGCTGTTCAGTTGTAGTTTGTTACATTAATTTTATTATTTCTATTTCAGTTCATTCTGTGATTATATTGTAGTCTTAACCCAGCTTCCCTAGCAAATATTTATAACACTATTTATTAATTTTATCAGACATAAAAACTATTCAAATATTTACATTATTTTGTACCCTTGTATATGACAGTATCAAGATATTGGGAGGGGGGGTATATAATACAACATTGCTTTTTAAACTGTGCCTTTGACCAGTATCATAAAACAGCAGTGCTGGTCATTGGGTAACGACCATTGGTCATCCAGCACTGATCACTGGCCTGCATTGGTTAAGACACACAGATGATGACAGGGACACCATTTATTTTTGAAGTGCACTGAAGTTTAGCAGTTCCATTATTGCTGAGTGTTAAACCCTGGTCCAACCTGCCTGCCCACCCAGAAAGTGCTATGTAAAGTTTGGACATTTCGCTCCCCCTGCAAAAATTTGTCTTATTTAACGTTTACTTACGGTTCTCAATCTGTCCTTGGACATGTTCTTAATCTGTTCTAGGACATTCTGAAGGACTTCCCAAAATCAGTTCTTGAACTGTTACATTACAGGACAACATTAGAACTGCAAAAATAAAAAATACACCAAATGTTTTAGAATAGACTAAGAACCGTAAATGAATGTTAAATGAGACACATTTTTGCAGGGGTCTCAACAGATCAAATAAATTAAGCTGTATGTGAAATAAAGATGTTTCAACCTAAATTCATCTTCTTGGTTGGCAAACAAGGTTGACCTGGTTTGTACGGTTGGTGTTTGGAAATGAAGTAAATGCAAACAATTCAGCTGAAAAAGGTTTGTGATGGAATTTTGCATCATCACAGGGGAAATGTGCTACATATTTCAGTCACTCCACATTGTTTTGGTTTGAATACACTGAATACAGTATTTGACTTGAAGATATATGTGGTGTGGTTTGATGTGGACAGTAAGGAGGTGGGGAGTTGATAAACAGGTCCACTGAGACTTCCATGTCACTGGCAGCAACTTGGAGAAGCATTGGGCATTAGTTCATTGATTGTTGTTGATGGTTGAATTGAAGTGATGGTTTTGAGATTGTTGAAAATGTCTTATATATATGTTTATTTCTTGTCATGCCTCTCCTCTTGAAAGTTGATTAAATGATTTCATCATCTGTATTAAGTCAAATTTTGAATGTTTCCCTTTTCTTTATTCTGATAATGAGTTTATACATTGTAATATTTTGCCATACGCCTTGTCCTTTGGTTACTGAGTAGATGGATTCCTTTTATTATGACACTGAGATGAGAGTAATCCTACTAAATCTGTATGTTTTCATTGCAGATGGACGTGAGATCAGCGCCAAGGATCTGGTGTCTAACATCATCCAAGCAGCCAATAAACGGGTGAAAAGAAAGGACAAGAAATCCAGCAGTGACAGCTCAGACATCGGCAGTGAATGTGGCTTCAATGAAAGAAACATTGATGAAGCAGTTGTTGCCAGGCAACTGAAAATGCAGGGGCAGCCCCCAGAGAGGGTAGAGTCAGGAGGTCAGAAAGACAGTGTGTTCTCAACAAAAACGGATTATGTGGATTCTAGGAGTAAGTCTGAGGATCGAGGACTGGACCAGAAAACGTCTGAGGTGAACTTGCTGGGCAGGTGCTCTACAGAGGTCAGTCTGTCCTCAGTGGGCAGCAGGGGACAGTCTTCTCTGGACAGCCACCAGCCCCCGCCCACCACCACCACCACTGTGACCAGTGTCTCCTCACAGGAACAACAGAGAATAGACTCTGGCTCCACACGACAGGCGCAAAAAATAGCTCCTGTGTCATCGTACTCTGATGACCTTGACCTACAAAGACAGCAAGTGACGGAGAAACAGGCATTCCAGAGAACTTTTAACACCATTTATACTCACAATAGACCCTCCATCACGCGGCCTCGGTCTGAGGAGTCGCTATTAGACTCTCGCCTGGATCACGATGAGGTTGAGATAACTCACGGGTATAAGAAGCCCAGTGTTAGCCACGAGGAGAGAAAACGGCGGCTGGAGTTTGAGGCGAGAGCCATGAGACAGAAAGAGGAGGAGAGACAGAGAGAGAAGGAAAAACGGGAGCTGGAGAGACAGCGGATAGAGGTGGAGTTACAGAAGACACAGCGAGAGTTGGACGAGGAGAGCAAGGACAGTAGTTTGGAGGACTTGCTGAAACACGCTCAGCCGGGAGATATCACTAACAAGATCTCAGACTACAGCAATAAACTGGCAGATCTCAGCAATAAGGCGGACACCACGTCTATCACGTCAGATTATTCTACAACATCATCTGCTACGTATACAGCCTTTGAAAATCAGCGCGCCCCGCCTCCACACCAAACATCCGACTACTCTAGTAACACCTCGCCGACAAGTTTACACGCTGACGCCAAATTAAGTCTTGTAGATCCAGAGCATTCCAGACCTTTACGATCTAACATGCCAACTGTCCAGTCTGACGGTCGTCCTGCCTTTGGAGGTTCGAAAGTGTACGCCGTGACAGTGAGCCGTTCTGCCCACCCGGGACACTTACGGCGCTCTCATACCACCGACCTGGGCTCCGGCATCGCGCGTATCCATCTGTCTCAGCACCCGGCTCAGCCACAGCACGCGTCCTCACGCACAATAACATTACGCCGAGCGTCGGTGGAGAATGAACCTCGGCACAAACCGCCGCCACACGACGGGTACACTCGGAAAAGGAGGAGTCGGGAACTGGAACCGTACCCTCACGATCTGAACACAGTGGACCACTCAAGAGCCCAGCACAGACGTGGCTCTTTAGACTCCTTACGGGACTACTACGACCGCCATGATGCCAGGCATTCTGTCTCCAGCGCGTCAGAGGACGGAGATAGCTCGGCCCCCCTTGAAGACAGACTGAAGGCTCTCTTGGTGCCTGGGAGCAGTGACTATACCAGGCTACCATCCAGTATACACGATAGTAATAGAGTTAATGTGCAAGAAAATATAAGAGACAAAAGTTCTGGTAGATTAGATAATAAAAGACCAGAAAAGACTGAAACTAAAATAGGCATAGCGTCGCGTTTTGAGAGAAATCCACCGCCTACAAGTGACAGGACAGAGAACACTGCAGTTAGTTCTGGAGGCGCGCCTGAGGGTAACAACACACAAACAATACCACCCAGTCACCAGGTGATGCCAATGACAAAGTTTGAGAAGACGGGGTCCAATCTCAGCCAGCAGGCGGCCCAGGGTGGCCGTGACACTGTCCAGGGCAGGCTGCGCAAGGCGGGCTCTTTGGATCACCTGGAGATAGACGCTCACTCCGCGGAAAAGATGAGCTCGCCGGAGAGGACGGAACAGTCGCCAAAAAGCGAGGTCTCGGAGGAAGGCCCGAAAGTGAAACGGCGGACGGGTGTGGATAAAAAGTTACGTCGGCGGCACACAGTGGGAGGAGTCAAGGATGTCGATCACTTCAGGGCCATTGTGACGTCATTGGGCCAATCAGAACCCTCGAAACAATCAGCATGGGAACGTCTCCAACCACGTGACCGAGACACGGGCGAGGAGGACGACAGGAATTTACAGACATGGCTGGCACGTGAGCGACTTCGCACCAGTGCCACTGACTTGACTGCTGGGCTAGCCAAAGCGCTTGTTGATATCAACCTTAGTGCGGGGGAGAGGGGAGGGGAACGACCTCTTCAAACGGACATCGCTAGACGAGAACAAAAACGCTACAGACAGCATCATAATACGGTGGCGACAGCGCCCGTGGAGTCTAAGATATAACATGTTTTTAAATGAAAATACAGTGTAAGTTTTAATACAAATGTGCATAATGAACTTTAATATGTATATGTAGTGCGTAGATGTAGAATTAGCAGGCTCAATGGACGCGGTAGTGAACAGTGCATTTATTTCAGTGGAGACCGCTCAGTTTTGTATAATTTAATAGAAAGTGAAAGACTCCCAGCAAACATTCTGTGAACTCTGCCAACTGTCGGGACATTTGTTGGGATGTCAACACAGCCAAATTATACCCAACGCAATCACACCTAACACAACCAGATACAACCACACCTTACAGTAGGCCTACCGTGATACAGTGAATTTGTGTACAAAGTCATTTGCTCTAGTATGCTTTGCAATAGCAGGATGACAGTGGTCATTTTATATTGAAGTTTTTCATTTATTTATATGTAGTCAGTTTACAGCTCTTCTTGCCAAAGCAGTTGATTTCATATTTTTAATATTACTAATCTAGATATTTATACGAGTCAATGCCAGGCGTAGACCAGGCTGGCTGTTATTGTGAAGAAAATGAATTAATATTGTTTTAGCAATTCTAGTCCTAGCACAGTTTTAATTCACAATTAGTTAATTCAAAGCAACTCGCCAAGTAGCTGTTCTGTTAAAGAATATCAGGACAAGGAAGGCTATTAGGTTTGATGATGTTATTTAATGAAACATATTTTGTGATGTAAAGTTTGTAAAGTAGCAAACAATCAAGAATTTGATTTGAGGCATCAAGTCGGCACTGTAGAATTCTATGGCCGGTAGTGGATAAAATGTCTTGATAATTTTGTTCCGTGTTCAACAGTGGTTTTTGAGCTGTGATTCATTACTTTTGTAAACTTAGTTTTAGATTTGCATAGATATTTTATCGCCATCCCGCCTTTACACAGACATGTCGTCTGCCGCAGTGACGTCACAGCGGGGCATATCACGTGACGATAAGATGAACATAGAACTCTTAAGTATAGAATAGAAAATCTAGTCTGTGAATACCAGTAGCAATACCGCCACAAGTAAATACTCTTGTACAGTTTTGTTTTTCATATAAATCGTGTAAAATATTGATATGATTTACAATTGTAATTTGAGCCTTTTTCAGTATTTATAAAATTGATACCATCTCTAACGTGTAATCGGTGGAATATGAATAATGTTGTACGCTGACAGGAATGAAGATATTCCATTAAACAGTATAATTCTATTCCTATCATCGTTGGCTTTTTGTCTTAGTTGCCTACGTGCCTCTGGGCAGTAAAACCATGACACTGGTCAAACCTTTTATCTGATGATTTATACGTATTGACATCGTAGTAGTTTGCTGGGTTGTAAATGGAATTTAATCTAGTGATTCTCTAGTGTTATCAACGGTGTAAACGCCCAAACCTGAGCAGATATCGTTGTCAAATCGACAAGCCTGGGGGGGGGCAGATTGAAGGGTTCTGCATCACGAAAACAAGACCCCCCCCTATAAGGCACCACGTGAACAGAGGTTTCGTGGCCCTTGTGTCATTTTGGGAAAATAGTGTGAACCAGACCTGCCTTTTGGTGGAAGATGTCTTTTTTCAAATAGACCGAAGACTCGTGAAACAAATGGGAAGAAACAAGTCTGTGCTCTCCCCCATCCCACCCCCATCCCATCTCCCCCAGCCCGTCCCAGACATCTATATGGAATTAATGCTTCGTGTCAGTGAACTTTACTGGCAATTTCTACCCGCCACCTAGTAAAGGGTGGGGCTAATCACGAGGGTCTCCGGTAGTACGTTACTAACCAGGCAGGTGGTATCATAGGTATTATAGGAAAAAAGTGAAACGGGCATAGTAAAATAACTGTCTGTTTATCTAAAGACATATCTGTGAATATCCTGTGAATAGTCAATCTATGGCTCTGGTAGAGGGCAGAAGGTGGGTGTCATTTCCCGCGTTCACATCATCCTTATATCATTCCAAACCAGGTGACTCAGACCTTAATCACAGCGTCCTTGATTTACAGCTAACACAAGGGCACCGTAATCGCTGTATCAATACTGTAATGGAGTATCAGGCTGATAGGAGGAGAGACACAATGAACTGTTTATCCTGACACCCACCTTCCCTTGATATCAGGACTTCACTCGTGATTTACACGGCGGACGTTAGAGTGAGAATGGAACGCTATCTCTATCGCTGAGTTAATTTCATTTTGTTTGTTCCGGACTATAAATACCAAAGTTGGCGGGTTGGGATTGATCACAGACACGCTGATGTCTGCCGGTTTGGCTTCTCCTGACTTAGTTGGACTTAAAGTTGAGTAAAAAGTAAAGAAATGAGTACAACCACAATATCTTTATTAAAGCATTCAGCCGAGTACTCCTAGTAGTAACAATTAGCTGATATTGCCGTAAATAACTTTCTTTAACTACAGTTCCTTCTGCGAACGCAACGCAAGCTGCCTACGTAAAGTTATTGATCGTCCTTTTGATCATCTGGCCGTACTTCTCGAGCTACCTAACGACTTTCCAGTCGCCTGTAGCTCTACTTGCCCGGGGCGACCTCCAAGACAAACTGCTGGTTGCCCTGTCCGTGTCTGTTCCAGATCTTAACATCAGCGCCAGCGTCTGTGGAGTGGTTCATGACGTCGAGAGCAAGGTCTCCCCCCATCTCACTACAGATGGTGTTGTCCTCACAGAGCACCCAGCGTTGGTTTGGGCCGCCATTGTGGCTCCACATACATACGTCATTACCGGGGCTGGCGTTGCAGTCCTTCAGGTCCAGAACCTTGCCTTAAGTAGAGAAATAGAAAAAATTGGTACTTTTTGTGAAATCTCTGCGATATTGTTTTAACTATTTAAAATGGGAAGTAATTTTTTGAAGAGTTAACATCAACAAATTATGGAAAAGATTCCAGTTTAGTTTAAACGGAAAATGTAGGCAAATTGCCCTTGGACATTTTTTTCTCTAAAATAAATTTAGTCTTTACTTAACAAAATATTTGCCAACCAAGTCGCGTGTTTTAAGTAATTTGACAATTTCTCGTAAGAGCCTTGGAACCATTTCAATTTTTACTGGAAAAAAGCAATCGACATAAGAATTATGTAGTCAAGAAAGATATTTGGATCTATCATAAATGAAAACTGTCTTGACTATCAAAACTGAGATCCAATGAAACTATTTTTACATAAGAATTATCTAGTTTTCTGAGCGCCCCCTACCGTTGAGTTTGCTCCTGAGCACACCGTCCTCGTACGACCAGAGCTGGTGGTCGCCGCCAGAATACTCCCACATACAGATGGTGGCGCCATCGTCGCCACAGCATCCCTTGATGTCCATGACAAGACCAGTCTGCTTGTTACGAATTACGTAGTACACCTAAAGGACAGCAGATAAAATGTGCTATAATAAGTTACGAATCACGTAATACACCTGAAGGACAACAGACATAATGTGTTGTAATCAGTTACGAATCACGTAATGCACCTGAAGGACAACAGACATAATGTGTTGTAATCAGTTACGAATCACGTAATGCACCTGAAGGACAACAGACATAATGTGTTGTAATC